CTGTCCTGGCTCTGGTGCACCTCTCTACTACCCCCTCTCCGAGTTGTTGGGCCCCTACCCTTTTCCCAGGGGCACCCACTCAGCGAGTCCCCCAGTCCCCGCCCCCTGGCGCGGGTGACAGGTGTTCCCCTCCGCCCCCCAGATTCCAGCCGGGCCTGGACTATTGGTTAGAAAATGTCAAAGTGATGCGGTGCCGCCCCGGGGTGGCCCGCTTGCCCCCCACCTCCCAAAGTCGCCACCAGGCCTTAGTGAACCGGCAGGGAGGAGCTCTCATGCTTGCTGCCCGGCAGGTGCCAAATTTGGGAGGGAGTCGGGGGACCATTTCTGCTCCCTCCTGATCCCCTCTCGGTGTTCCACCCCACCCCACCCGACCCCAGCCTCCCCAGGAGCCCCTTCAGCCTCGCATACTCGCAGGGGGTGGGCGACTTGGGAGCCAACGCTAGAACCCACTCTCTCGGACGCGGCCAACTTTGAGCTGGCGGAGCCCTTGCTGGGGCGCCGGGAGTCGGCCCCGGGGAGCCCACGGAGTCTGGCGCGCCGGACTTCACCCGGGTCTCCGCGCGTGGGGCCGCCGACGCACCGGCGGGTGGCGGCGGCGCCCCGGCCTGAGTCCCCGGCCACCCGCCCACAGGTGGTTGCACCCCGCCTCCCTCCAGAAGGGAGCTAGGCCGGCGCTGCTATCCTCCCCCACCCGGGCGTCCAGCTACCAACGCGTCTTTCTAGCCCAGGGGCCAGATCTGATCAAATCAAATCTGCACATTAAAGGGGCGCCTACTGTGCACCGTGCGCTGCGGCAGATGGTGCCTTTGGGGATCTTTGGGTGTGACTGAGGACAGGGCAGTGATTGGGCTTTAGATGAATATTACAGACCATCTCGAAGGTTTCAAGGGAGAAAAAGAACATTCCCGGACTTCCAAAAAAAGCACTTAGGCCTTTTCCAGGTGGGAGAAATTCGTCGGACTTGACCCCGAGAACTAGGAACATGTAAGGGTTTTAGATGGGAATATCAGAGCCTGCCTGGCTTGGGGTTTAATGCTTCCCTCTGTAGGTTTAATTTGAGACAGTTCAGTTTATGGCAGTTTAGGGGTCCCCTGCCCAGACATAAGGCCTCGGCAGGGACGGAGCTGGTGATCGAGGGGGCAGGGGTGGAGCCGGCTCCAAGGGGAGCAGGGAGCGGGCCTAAGCCATCAATAGGACATCCCCTGAGGGCTCCCAATATGTGAGAGGGGGCAGGTTGGGCTGAGGGACCCCCCCCCTCCATTGCACAAATTTTGTGCACCAGGACCCTAGTTAGAATATAAACCTCATGAAATCAAACTTTCTTTTTCACTAGTCTCTCCCTGTGCTTATGACAGGCTGATACAAGTTCTTCATAAACAT